GGGGGGGAGGGGGGGGGGAGGCTCGTATAGGATCGGGGTGAACAGACCTATCAGCCCCAAAAGCCGTTGCCAGACATAACTCTCAATACGGCTGTCTTCACCCGAATAGAACGCCTGGTCATTATCCCTGTATTTGGGCCAACTTCAGTCCAGATGCAGCCATAATGACCCGGCGCGTTCTATCTGGATGAAGACCGTAGCCTGTTGACCACGTTAGGATGAGGGATGATACAGACTGTATATATATGGATAATAACAGCAGCAAACTTTCAGGGTCACCGTCGTCGATAATCAGGGGGGGGGGTTGTCCCAGCAGCCAGGAGCAAATTTGACGTTTTTGAAAGGTGCAGGTTGCGACGAGCTTGAAAATTGACAACTGTTACAAAAAAAAAACAAAAAAAAAACGTTGACAACTGTCGTGACCAGCTTGAACCGCCAGTATTTTGCCCATACATTGGATGCCGCGAAAAATAGAGCCACGGCGTTTCCACTTGAAGTGAATTTGGCGGTGACGTTTCCACTTGAATGAATTTGGACCGGAGCCGCCAGGCCTGTTCGGCCCAGTTGGGCCCAGCTCGTCACAGCTGGTTAAGGGTGCCGGCCCTAGAAAATACTGGTCGTTTGAAATTGATGACCCAGGGTTCGTGGAACCATTTGAGGGCTGGCACTCTCTTGGGAGATCTGGAGGGGGCTGAGCCGGCACCCTCTTGGGAGAACTGGAGACGCCCCTGCAATCTGACCAGATCATGGCCCGAATATTATCTAGGGTCATGTTTTTAATAGCCAAGTGAGAGTAGAACACACCCCTGAAGTAACGATCATTTCTAAGTTTCCAGATGACTGCATATATGGCCCATCTAGCTGCCAAGGTCACATAACCTCAACCTTTGGTTGGGGATATCTGGGGGCGGGGTTGGCACCGGGGGACAACCGCAGGGATGACCCCCGCCCCCCCACACCTGCAGGGGTGGAAATTCAGATCTTTTTTTTTTGGGTTGCCTGCATTCCCCATCGAGTGCAATGTAGGTACAAAGCAGTCATCCCGGGGGTAGAAAAGAATGCGCCCTACCCTGGCCATCCCAGGCACCCCCAACCCTGCGGTCACGACCCTCACCCCCGCACCGCCAGCCGCACCCCCACCCCCCCCCCCCCCCCCCCCCCCACCCACCCCAACCCCA